GAATCTGCCAATGGAATAATGGAATCCATGACCCTCCACTTGGGGGCATCTTAATCCATGAGCCTCCACAAATCCCGGGCATCTGGGCTGTGCCCGGCTCATCTAATTTCATGACCCCGGCGGCCACGTCCAATGGCCCAGTTGAATGCGCAAAGCACAAGGTGAGCCCGAGAACCCACAAACACAACAGCGGCGTGCTATTTTTTTTTGAACTGTAGGTGAAATCTCGACGCGGGAGCACAAAGCAGAACATCCAAGCCAGGAAGCAGCAAGCAACCACAAGATACCAAAAATGATCCAAAAAGGAAAGCAACATAATATATGAAGAGAATATGAAGCTTTCAGTGAGGAAACGAAAAGAAACACCTCGCAGCCAGATACGTTTTGCATCATCCTTTGCAAGTTGAGGGTCCAGTCTATCAGTGTCTCTTGTCCTTTGCGTTGCAAACACACCTTGAATCCTATTGATGGGTCGTGTGAAGTTTGTTGACCTTTGGGGCTATTGACATTCAACGGCTGAAACAGGTGGCCTGAAACAGGTTCTGATGCGGCCGGAAAAGACGCAGCCATGTGCATAGTTATGTGCGGAGAGCATCTTGCCCGGTGGCTACAAACTGCCACGACTTCGTGATGGTGTTACGATCCGTCCCGGTATCATGTTTATCCATTCACCGGGGCGAGCAAAGAGACCATCTGTCATCTGTTTCACTGTTGGATCTGCAGATGCAAAGGCCGCTGGCTCACTGCTGTCTTCTTCGTCACTGTTGTCGACTGGGCCATGTAGCATGAATCATTGCAAAAGACACAGCTCTCAAAATAATTGGTTAGAATATGTTAGATTGTATTTTCGACCTTACACAAAATAATCGACGATCCACACGACCATCATCCCCAAACGGCACGCATTTTCACATCCAGCCAGCTCATTTGCTGCGCCAGTAACCAGACCTAGAGATTCTTTGGGACAAAACACGGTCTTTTGGGGTCCCGAAGTGATGCACTGTGGAAGGCCTTCCGCGCCTGCGATGCATTTCATCACTCGAAAGCAAAAGTCACATGCTTCGTGACTTGTAAAGTTCACCACGGCCAGTTGCTTCCAAGGGAGATGAATGAAATTGTAAGGTCGTTCATCTGCAGGATAGCCACAAAGGCCTGGGGCGAGGAAACACCTCTCCGTTTGCCCGGTTGCAGGACAAAGATCTCCGACGATCGCGGACTGGAGCGGATGCGACGACCTTTCTGGGAGGCCAATGATTCGTGTGCGAGGGTCCCAAGCTGCGGCCCAAGAAGTGTTCCCCAAAACACCAACATGCACAAACATCGGTGGCTTGGCCGCTGCAGACCATCCTGCCATCACGAAGTCCCAAAAGAAACGTGGAGGGATGGACGAAATCATTCCCTTTCTCTCCAATCTATAATTCTCATCTTTCCCATCCACCCGGAGGTGTACGTCATCTCCCTGGCCCATTGGGATTCCGTAAGAAAAGAAGTCGCAAATGTTCTACAAAACCCCGAGTGGGGCGCAGCCGAGCTACGATGCAAGGCAATCACGAAGTCCGCTTGTGAAAGCCTTGGGTCGCTGGTGTTTTCTGCATGATCTGACAATGGAACATAAAAGGACAGAGGAATATGATGGATTTGTTTTGCTACCCTGGCATTACCCTGGTGTCTTTTTTACTGAAAGCTATGTTGGAGAAGGTCTCCCAGCTTGTGGGACTGTTGGCGATTGCTGGGGTCCCCTAAGCAATACGACACATGATCATTGAACATGGAATACTTACAAACATCACGGAATTCCTCGTGGCTGGCTAATGTTGAAATAGTGCATCAATAATACTGCAGCGTTACTATAGAAATCAACTGTCATACATATTCAAAAATTGTTAGCAAGGAAATTATCAGCAAAGGATTTGCCCGGCAAGGTGGGCTTCTCCCGACCACTTGAGCCATTAGACTTAGATGTTTAACTAGTGTTCGTTTCGAGGACTCTTCGGGATCTGCAGAACCTGCAAGTATCTTTCACAGGGTCACCAGGAGTTGTGCCAAACAAATACGTTTCACAGCAGGTGGGTGGATACTGGTGCAAAATCTCTAGCACTTTCCGTTGGAACTTTGTGGTTGGCATATGGTGGTACGGACAGTCTCAGGGACCTTAAGTCAAGGGGAGCGAGTAGTACGAGCTAATCGAGTCTGACATGACTGGCCAGTGCTGTTCCCTGTGTGTTTTGATTCTTATACAGATACATGGTGAGGGGTGCTTCTTGTTCGCTTCAATACAAGTATGATCAAGTATGTATGTATATAACTAAATGTAAGATGCATCATGATGTTTGATGTCAAATTGTTGAAACCCCTTCGTGGCAGTCTGCCATGGCCATTGAGGGTTGAAGATTCTAACAAATCCAAGCAACTTGGCTGAGAGTTTGAACAGGATGGACGTAGCCACTGGCGAGAGCTGGCACTCTTCCGTCTGGGTGTGCACCATCATGCGAAGCACTCGTTCAGATGGAGAGAACCCCAGTGTGAACCAGTCGGTTTGAGCAAGAACGGCTTCCAACTCGAGACCCTTTTTCGATAGAGGACACCAAAACGACGTTTGGGTGCCTTCCACCTCCGCACCATGGTGCTAACACTTAGCTTTCCAACACAAGTCTACTGTTAGCATCAGGTTTAAGGTAGGTCTACTGTATCAGCTCCCTACTCCCTACTCCCTACTGGATCACCCATAAAAGTAAAAACGATTGGCATCTCCAAAATTCAACCGTTTGACAAAGCATCTAAATCTATATATATAGAGAGATCTAGACTTCCTTGCATTTCCAACGATCGTATTGGTTTTTGGTCCTCGGGATTAGTTTCTGTGGTGGTCAAATATCACCTGACATTACGGATCAAAAGATCTACAAAGGATCGATCTCAACGATGGTTTTGAACTAATTGGTATTAACATGTCATGTTGACTGAGGGATAAAACCGCCCCTAATGGAGATCTTTGATGATGTGCGACGGAGGAATTGGCATGAATTGACTGTATAATTATGGCTGTGGGTCCAAACCCAGATCCCCAAACCAGATCAAACCAGGGTAGATTGACCTCCTTGGTGGCCCATTCTGTTCATTTTCTCTGCTCAACCCGGTTTTGCCCGGTTGGCATTCCTTCCAGTACTTCCACCTTCCCCGGCCTCACGAGAAATGCAGTGACGAGGTCGAGGTGCCATCGGTCGGACGTTTCGGTGCGGCTGAAACAGAGCGTTGGGACGGTGCCGTTTCGGGCGCAGAGGAGAAGCATCTGCGAGGATCGAAGACGGTGATTTGAGGTTCAATTTATTTATGGGCCAAAGACCTTTGGCAAAGGAGATTCTAAGGCGAATTGCTCCATTTTGCCCTATGCTCTGGTGATTGATGGTCGATCCAATGGTAGAAGGGTTTCCGTGTTCCCTTTTCCCTTTTATGGCATATTGTGCGGTGGTTTCAAAATGAGTGACTGGAGACTGTCGTCTTGAGCCCCAGAAAGCCACCAGGTGCGGCAAAGTGCAGCATCAAACCTGCCCTTTCTGCGGGTTTTTCGAGCAATCGAGAAAAGCCACCGTCCAGGAATGAGACTGGGAGATCTCTTGGCGGTCAGGCTTTCAACTTGTGGTTTTGAACCTTCAAACCAAGGGAACATCTACTGTATCATCATCTATCCGAGGCTTCTTAAACTCAAACTGCATGGAATTCGGGAAGATCATGCGAAAGATGGTTTTCGGGTGTGTTTGTTCCATCTGGTGAGTCACACACCCAACCGAGGCGGCCTCGGAACACCGTCTCTCGACGGTGTGCGAACGACGTCGGCATGCCCTGTCAACGCGTGGTCTTTTGGCGCAAGCTGCGCTGCAGGGTCGGTATGGGCGAGCACCTCCCGGCGGTCAGGTATGGTGGAGCAAGGACGCTACTAGGAGCAAAGGGCATCGCTACTAGGAGCAAGAAGCTACTAGGGGCTCCTGGCCTTACTACTAGGAGCAAGGACGCTACTAGGAGCAAAGGGCGTGGGTTGTAATGACTTGGGCAGCTCTCATGAGTCCCCGACATGACGACCTATGGTCGTACATCTCCGGAGTAACAAAGTAGTGCATATTTGGGTCATTCTTGGTGTTGGAAAGGGGGCAGACCGGCAGACCACCCAATCACCCCTGGAGGAAGGAAAATGGACCAAAATGCGTTGGTTGTCACTGCGGCTGCTTGCAGCAGCTGGGTTTTCTGAATCCGATCTGAGTTATGACATTATGAAGGCTGTGCAACGTCTGAACCACAAACAAGTTGCTAGCAATTTACGGGAGGTCGCTCCACTTTAAACATGAAAGTACCATGCAAACCTTCGGTTCTCCTGAGCTGATGGTGCACATTAGGACCAGTGTGCTTTCCTTATGCTATGCTGAGGGGTGATCACTGCATGTCATCGACTGCATGAAACTGCAAAGGCCAAAAACCCATTGGAGGACTCCCTATTCAAACACACACCCATTATATAAGTGGTGTCTTCGGAGCTCTGAAGGTATGGAGTATGTATGTCCCAAAGATCAACAGGTAACCTTGTTTGCTGTCCACCAACCAACCAACCAACCAACAAACCAAACCAAACCAAACCAAACAGTCCCAAACCAATCCAACCCAAACCAATCCAACCCAAACCAACCCAAACAAACAAACCCAACCCAACCAACCCCAAGCCACCAACCAACTGACACAACAAAACACAACCAAAAAGCACAACTAAAGACACACACACAAACAAACATACAAATATACATACAGTACATGACATCACATAACATTACATTACATTATAATACATTACATTACATACACAACATACAGATACACATATATCTATATATCACTGGTAATATACTATACATAACATGACATAGCATGACAAACATACACAAACAAACAATGAGGAAGCAAGAACATACGCTTGTTCCATGGCATTCCTCCACCCCGCCCCACATCGCCAAGCCTTATGAGGATTTCACGCAGCACTCCTCGTCCGTGCTGCCCTGGTGCTTGTCTGCGTTTGGGCGATGCTCCAAGCCTGCAACGCGTGCGTTGCGTCAAGTGAACCCCCGCCAGATTGTCTGCAGAGCGTAGCAATTTCGCCACAAATAGCAAAAATAACATAATTATTACACATCAATCCCTTAAAATTGTATTGGACACAGGCTGCTCTATCTTTTGCCAGGAACCACGATATACAACCCCATCAACCACATTTAAAACGCAAAATAATGTTGCTCTGGCTGTCCAGGGTGGGGCCGAATCGAGCTCCAGATCCGCAGGTTCCACTCCGAGCCTGCTTGCTTGTCACAGCAATAGTCAGAGCAAAGGAGGGGATCGTAACATTCCATGTCGGTGCTGCCCTTCGCACTTGGGTCCTTCTTCCTGCGCCAGCTGCGTTCTCGAGACATGGCTCAATGGTTTCTATCTGAACTCTCCCAAAAAGGTGCTTCTGTTTTTCAGATGTGTTCAACTTGCACAGCTAGGACATGGAAAATGTTTAAGTCATTGAATGTTTAAGTCAGGAATCCTTCTCCCGACAAAAGGAATACACCCCATTTGCGCGCGTGCGGGTTCGTGCCACGGGAGGGGCCTTCGCCACATGGGGAGTGCTTGTTTTCGCTCAGAAGCACTCGCTCTGATGCGGAACGTGTCTTTCCGTCTAAAATGACCAAACAAAGGTACCCCAGTAGGGTCCTATAGGGTCCACCTATAGGGTCCTACAGGGTCACACATTGGAAGTGTTTGAGCGACCCCTTGGCCATCTGCCATTGACCCAATGCCTTGGAGCAAAAGCTACGTTTGCTTTTGCGATCAATGACACTGGATGCGTTAGGCTCTGAAACAGTAGAACATGGATGTGATCCAAAATGCAAAATGGCCCTGGTGCAAGGCTTCTGCTCCCCCCAAAAAAATGATTGCACGATATTTACAGTGTGTTTGAAGATGCTTAAAGCACTTCATTATTTTACTTTTGCTCCCAGGCACATCTGCTCTCGACAAAGAAAGATACAGGGGTGTTCAGAGGGACTGTGTGAATGTGCTTGAGAGGGCATGACGAACAGTTTCTTCTTTAAGATGCCTTTTTGAGTCGATGAACACACGGCAACATCAGCTGGTCAATGCCTCTGTGCCTTGTCCAGCGGGTGGGATGGCTGGTGGTATACTGACTGCAGAAGATCGGCATGCAGCATTCCTGAACGACACGGGACATCGGGGCGTCCGTCCTCGGGGCTTGTCGGTTAGCTCAGTGGTCACTCTAAGGAACCCTCTCAGTGGTCTCAGTGGCCAATCGCCGCAACGAAGGTTGATCTATAGATTCACTGCGACAACAGCGACAATTTGAGTGCTGAATGCAATGCCTCAGAGAGAGTCCAATGACTGTCTGGACCTGGATCCAAACCATGAACTTCATTCTATCAAAGGTGTTAATCTGTTCCCCGAGTTTGTTCAGCTGCTCGTGAAAACACCACTGTTCCCCCCGCAACAATCGGTCGCACATCTGGGCAACCAAAGAAATATGTACGACATCAGTAACGTGACTCCACTCCTGATTCCCCATGGGGGCATTGTCCCTTTTGAAACCCCACTTGGCTTTAACTGTCACCTACCAAACACTCCATGTATAGCATATTCATCAACATTGGGGTGGTTTCAGGATTGATGTAGGCATATATTCCGTACATGGAGCGTTTCGGTACCAGTTCTGTGAGCTGCTGACTGACTCCCTGGCATGAAACAGCAGTGCCACTGTGGATTCTCGACGGACTGAACGGTCTCACTATCAAGCTGGCTGTTGAGACTGACCACAATCAAAAGACGATAGTTAACATGACTGAAGATATCTTCAAAGGAACAACAGTTAACATGACTTAATCGTATTATACCTGATACAACAATATCATACAATATCTAACATGACTTATATCTTCAAAAGCGCAATATGTAATATGATTTTAACATATCTTAACGATTCTTAATGTGACCTTTAGGAGATTCTCACTTAACCTGACTTATATAGTAAATCAAATGGCAAAAATAATGAACAGCATTGCCGATCCAATCCACGCAATCTACATGTTTTTCTGCTCACAAAACGTTGGAGACCCGCAGTCCCAAGGGCAGTCCAAAAAGGTGTTCGACTCAACCCCTTCATACCATTTCAGACCCATCTCCACAACACGTTTGAGATGTTTGAGTCTGTTTGAGTATCTATATCTCAGTGCAGCTGTCCTCGTTGGTGCTACCTTGCCACTTGTAGATGTTGGTGTCGACACGCTTGTACCTGAGCCAAAATAGCTTCAAGACATTTCAAGACTACATAAGGTGTCAAATCCGCAAACCTGCAGGGAAATCCCTGTCAAGTGCCTTGTCCATTGTTCGAAGGCCATCTTCGACAAAGGCGCAAAACAAGTTTCAGGGTCATCATTTGGAGACCAGTCCAGGCTGGTTCTCGGTTTTTACAGTAAACGCATGTAAACGTTGGCATCCTGAACAAGGTTCACTTGGCACGAAGTTCCGATTCCGTACCAACTGACAGCCCTCACAAACACAAAGATGCGTAGAAGGGAATCACTGACATTTACCAGTTGCAATTTTGCCACAACATATCCCAAAATTGGGCGTGTGAGTCAAACCTGTCTCATCTCAATCTTGTTGTCTCATCGACCATTCGCCATGTCCAACCACCGGAACCTTCTACTTCAAGCGGCCACTGGGTGCCAACACCCGTGTTGTTCACATCCTCAGGGTGCCAAGTTGGGCGACATCGACTCTTTTGGTCTCGGATCTGTGGAGAAATGATGAGGAAATGACCATCAAGTGACCCAACGTGAAGTGATTCTACTGTGTTTCTATTGACCTACAAATGTCTACAGTGGTGTCGATATGCTTGGTGTGATTTGCCCAACTAAATTCTAAAGCGCCCCCAATTTGAACAAGTACGAATCCTTAAGCGATCTTAAGCGTATTTACTATTCAAAGAACCTCCCTGACCATCACCTTGCTTTACACGTATACCGTTGTTGGACAAAACTCCTCATGCAGCATCCGCAATCTATCTATATATATATATTATAGGGAAAATGCGAAATTGCCGGCAAATGCTAGAATATGTGTTTCCTGCGCACCGCAGTATCGCAGGGTTCCGCAGTTCCATCGATGAGTATACATGCATTGTTTTAAGTTTTTCTGTTTCCATTAGCACAATGTTTAATTACACATACATAGACTACATGACTTTAGCAAGCAACTGACTGTCCCTACAGGGTGCAATTTATCTGCTGTCCCAGCTTCAGTGTCACACACAAAGTCATCGCCTGGATACTCAGATCAACGACCGAAGAGTTTTTGCTGTGGCTTCAGCCCAGGGAAGGTGTCGGTCCGAAGGCCGGGAAGGTCGAGGATCTGTGAAACAGGGAGGTGTCGGTGAGATGCTTTTTGCCATCATTTTTTCTGTACATGGAACAACCAAGCTAGAACCTTTAAGAGAACTCTTTGCACAGAGAAATCCCAAAGGCAGAGATTGTGTAGCAAACCCCCAAAATGATGCCACTGGGAAGACTGAGTGCAAAGCTTGGAGAAGAGAGTCGGAAAGGGAGTCTTGAACACAGCCAGAACATGCAGTGTTCCAGTTTTACGGCTTGGTTAGGGCACATGGCCATCCTCCCATCTTGAATCCACATCCGTCCAAATCCAACCGAAACGGGGCTCGACAAAGCACACATACACAGGTGTTTGAGGGTTTTTGATCGTTCTCGGTGCTGTCGTCCCAAGCAGCCCTAGCACTCGGCATCCACCTTCCTGTCCTCCAAATCCAGGACCATCAAAGTGGCATGCCAACATGTCTGCTTGAAGAGTCACGTTAGGAAAATGAACACGACGATATCACTCTTGCCTACCGGCGTGACTGTTGATGTCTCTTGTCTTGCACCAGTGTGGTCACCCATGTCTTTCCAGGTATACTCCAACACACTCATTTCACCCACTTAGCGGCCCAGTCACAATAGATCTTCTCGCAGCATTGCTCTTTGGTGCTGCCCTGAATGGTCTCGAGGTCTGACAGGCTCGTGACGTCGTGGCTTGGGCGACCGTCAACGTTGAGCCGCAACGAAGTGAATTCCAACGCAAAACGGGAAACGTGAAAAAGTAGAACTTGGAGAGTCAGAAAGCCTGATTGAAACCTAGGGGGTGGCACATCCTAGATGTTATGATGAAATTGGCCGGTGTTTGGGGACAATCTGTGCCCGAAGGCCTCCCAAAATGGAAAACCAAAGTGATGGTGTTTAAAGTGGAATCTACCACTCCTCGGCAATCAGTGATGGTGTGTAGATGGTGTTTGATGCGGTGCGTACTGACTCACCTTTGTTGTTTTCTTGAGAAATCAAATTGCTTGGTGTCAGTGTTAATACACCTTTCGTGTTGTTTTCAAAACAATCGCACAAAACAACTACAGTATTTCCTGTGCAGAACAGCTCCCTGCACCCCAATACCCACCATCTTTTGACACCCTTCCCGTCCCTGAGGGATAACCACCAAAACAACAATAAACATATCTTGAGGAAGCCTAGGACCTAGATGCCTAATTTACGTCCTCTTACGCCTATCCCCGCAACAACAGTTCACAGGTCTCTCTACGACCCCTTCGTGCATCTTGGAAGTCATAAACCCTAAGCGACCCACTTGGAACGGTTCAACGTGGTTGCTTCCCTCAAACCTTTGTGCTTCAATGTAAGCTCCACGGCTACATCTGGAAGAACTATTTGTTTCTGCTTGTTTGGCATTGTTTGGCTTCCAGCAAAACACACATTGTGATACATGGTGTGGTTTTTGTGCACTTTGCATTCTACTGGCTACAGCAGGTCAGGGTTCCTTTTCTCAGCGGTTGAACATCAGAGGCAGCAGACCCACCTTCTGAAGGTCAGGCTGGTCAGACTTCTAGAAGAACAAAACCTCCAAACAATGGGAAAATCCACCCGAACAGCGCGAGGCGGACCCAGCTTCGGGCGGAGCGGCCGGCCTTCCTTGGCCTTCCACTGGGTGGCCGGATCACAGGTTTCCAGCAGGCAAAACCTGAAGCCGCAGGTTTCCAACCCGAAAAACCTTTGAGTTTTTGGCATTTTTGGACCGTTTTCGTCAGGTGTTAGAGGATCGTTTCCACAGGATGCCCGAGGACTTCCGAATGTATCAGCTGTCCGGGCTTCACTGTTTCCCATGAGATAGACACAATCTATAAAAGGCACGATCCTGCACGGGTGAACACACGTGGCCAAACGGGTCCTGCTTAAGCAGGCTGCCAAACGCGTCGATGCCGGTGGCTGTTGGGCGACGGTGGGATCGGCGGTTGGACCTGCCAAAGAGATCGATGTCTTCCACTTAGGAGCTCTCGAAATCTCCGAGAAAACAAGCTCAGCAAGTATCTTCCGAAAGGGAAAAGCCACACACAAACAAAGACATGAACTAACTAACCCCCTTTCTCGCATGTTGGGTAAGGTGCGTGTGAAAAAGTGTATCAGAACTCTATTTACTGTACATCTACTATTTCACTATATTTTTATACCATCCGGGGATTCTTCCTGGGAACTCTCCCCAATTGAGCTAGACACCCATTCCATGTGTCTTCCTTCCAAGGTGCCTCTTGTCGCAGCATTCCTCATCTGAGAATCCTCGGCGGTCCAGATTGGTCTTGCCATGCTGGTTGGAGAGATGCACCTTGGCGATCGGCGGGTGACATGCGACACGATCAAGTTGGATGGACGGACGGATGGCTGGACGGACGGATGGCTGGGTGGTTGGGGCTGGGTGCGGCCAGTTGATTGGTCTTGGCTGGTTGATTAATCGGGTGGTTGATGTTGGTTGGTGTTGGTTGGTGTTGGTTGGCTGGTTGATTGCTTTCCTCATTTGCTCAGCAAAGCATCGTTCACCAAAAAGGAACAGGCTGGAGCTCCCGATACCTTGAATATGTGGCAACGAGCGCTTTGTTCGCCGAAACTGGGGGTGATGATGCAAGCAGGTCTGGCCTGCAACGGTCCCAGCCCTTCTCGGACCACTCAACTCAAGGCCGAGGACCCTGCCCGTAACAAATGAACATAACAAAGAGGATGAGGATGAGCGTGAGCATGAGGATGATCACGAATCATAGATAGAAATCATAGATAATGCCTCAACCTCCCAAGGGATGCCCAACGGAATTTCACAGGTATAGTATAGTATTGTAACTATATAGGATAGCCCAGGATAGCTCATTGCGCCTCATGTTTCAAGCTGCCTCATGCTGCATCTCCTTCGATCTCTTTGGGTTGCGAAGCAACACAGTCTTCCATCGAAACGCCGCGTCGAATCGCCGCTGGGACCCCCCACCCACTTGCTGGGATCGCTGCACTGCCAGGAGGAGCAGAACTTGGTCTCGCAGCATTCCTCATCCGTGCTGCCCTGCAACTTTGCCTGTTCGATGCCCGTTTCCAGGTCAACGAGTGGAAGGTCTAAAGGATTTGTGACCTGAGTAAATGGTGATAGTCATAGTAGTTGGTGGTAGTTGTGCAATAGTTGCGTTTGCATGTTTTTGCAATAGTATATACGTATATAGTATATAGTGGTATCCGTATATATTTATATATAATATATCATATAATTATAGTCCAGCTAAACATTTCAGCAAGGCGTCTAGCATCGTGTAGCATCTGTGTGAAATCGGAATGGCAAACAATTGCCAAACACTTGAAGCCAAGCTCATGTTTTTTTGTGCCCCTTTTGGACCTCTCCAGGCTTCTTCTGCAAGGAGTCTTTACTGCAGGTGTAGCTGGAGCAAAGAATCTTGGTGCAGCACTGCTCCATGGTACTGCCTGCGCATCCATCGCCAGCGGCGCATATACAGTAGACAATCCTGTTTTTCCCAAACAAGTGCATATTCTCATCGGGTACTGGTCAGTGACTCCAGCGAGCTCCTAAGAAATAGGAAGTGAGTGCAAGTAAAGCCACTTGGAAACCATGGAAGGCACATTGTATTAGGTGATGGTTGAGTTATGACAGGGGACTGGAGTTGTGACATGCTTCCTACACACCACCGGCAGGGTGCCCTTCAGAGTACCCTTCACCATGGTCAACAATTCGAACATTGGGTCAAGTTTTACTGTATTTTAGTTTCGGAAAAATATTGTGCAACACCCTACGTATAATATGACGACCTATAATGTGCGCGGTCAAGTGAAACTCGTACCCCCAGAACACTTACAACGCGGAATGAGACACACTCTCCACTGGCGGTGTTGCGAGCTGCGATGATCTTCCAGAGGTTCAGAATGCTCACAATCCACGAATCCACTCGCTGAAAGGCTCATGTTCAAACCACCGGACCGGCAACCGGTTGCCCAAAAGCGAGCTACGTGCGAGGCGTGCGCCTACGACCGCTGCTGGGTTGGGCTTCCACATGGTGTTGTTGGGGCACTCAAAGGTGTCACACTTCTTCACCTTAGGAGTTATACGCACTGTTGCAGCGGAAGGACGGGAGTCGATTGGCGACTGGAGCATCTCCTCGCAAGACAAAGAGGTCAAAAGAACGTCAAAGAACTGTCTAAAGTTTAGGAGTCTAAAGAAAAAGGAACGAGTTATTTTGGATTGTTGAGCACTGGGCATCACTCAGATCAGAGTGTTCTTGACGGTTGGCCCCAACCCGCGCAAAACAAAAGAATGACCCACAAGTTACGCAGCAGTTCCTATCGTTGGTTCTGGGTTGATTTATGTCCTATACCATGCCTTATCCATTAATTGGGAGCTTTTTATGGGTGACGGTCCGACCCGCTCTGTTGAGTGAGACCTGTGACACGGTCCACATCATCAATTGGTTGCACCGTTGGTCCACCGTTGGTCCCCACCGTGACGGTCCGGCTTCCTCCATCTCCGATCCCCCGCCCGCCGCACCGGTCAGCTCGCCCAGGTGCGTCGCAGCACACGTCCCGGCTGTTGCCCAAGATGTTGGCCGCGCCCGCCCGCAATCCGAAGTCCTGCCGTCGACGGCCGTTCCGACCGGTCGCGTGAGCGAAAAAGACATCCGTCGACGACTCTTCAACCCCACCATCTGTCATCTGACCAACTAAGCGTGCAAAGTCCAACAACCTCCGCTGAAGGGAAAAACACGATTCTGTGTTGGCTCGTTTTCGAGGCGTACAAATGATCTAAACCAAAGGGGCTGACCTCTCTGAGGCGACCCTTTTTGGAAATCTCCTGCGAAGAAATGTGGCAACCAAATGTACAGAAGGAAGCGAGTCTTACTGTAAGTCTTGCTGTCAATTGGCTGGGTCATGTTGGGTCGAAGTTCTCCAATAAGCCTTCGGTCTTTTGGATGTTTGGGCGATTATTAATGATCGTCTCTTTTCGCAATAGAGGCCAAGGTCAGCCTAAGTGAGTTCTTTTCCAGGACTAGTCATGTCTAATCCAATGTGCTGATCCCTGCAATCAACTGTTCCAACTGCGGCCAACTGTGAGATGTCTTGCACTCCGAACCCAAACACTCTGATCAAACGCACCGTGCTGGGCTGGCAATCAAAGCCCTTGCAGTACTTGCCAGCCTTGGCGCGGTCCCCGACGTGGCGCTGGCTTCCCAAGGTCCCAAAAGGGACAAATAGAACAAATCAATGCAAAACCTATCCGCTACACATCCATAAGATGTAGTGAGTAGACACTTTGCCAAAACAATGGGTCCATAAATTCCAAATACAAATCAGTCGATCACATGACTTGAATGTAGCTGGCTAGGCCAAGCAAGTACAGAATGACACTGTACAAACCCAAACGTTCGTGAAGCTCACCGAGTTCCCATAGCCAGGTAGCTGATAGGTCTTGGGTCTCATCTTAACGAAGCAAACGGTGCTTCAAGATAAGCAGGTGGATTTGTGGCAATACTGCTTGTAGCAGTGGAGGACTGAGTCCCGAGTCCCTAAACCTTTGGTTTGTCTTGAGTCCGTATCTTTGACAGATGTTGAATGCTTTTTAATGCTTTTTATGCATTTGTTTTAGATTGAACTAGGAAAACACAACTCACAACTCACCGCCGCCACAGCCGCCGCCCCTGGTGACCGGACCACTTATCAGATCCGCATCGGTCATCGGCCTGTTCATGACATGCTCCCGGTGTCTCAAGTCCAGTGGTTTCATCAATGGCACCAGCCTCCCAGTTGGCGCCGGACAGGTCGGACGGCTTCGCTCTGCTGCGCTCCAAGCAACGCAGCATTCATCGTCAGTGCTGCCGTAGCGAGGTGTGCCGTCCTGATAGGTGGAAGATGGTGGAAGGTTGGTAGAGCTCACTGGGCTGCTGAGTGAGTGGTATGTACGAAAGAAACAGTTTGTGAACCAGACATAGTTTACCTTCCTGGCTGGATAGAACAGTTGTTCACCCAGAAACTAGTAGTTATCAAATAAGATTTGGTCATCTGGATTGCTGCAATTAGGCTGAAGATCGATTGTCTAAGATAAATTTCTGGGGTAGGCCTGGTTGCACGGGCTGCAGAAAAATATATTTATCTCGCAGTGACCCACTGCCCACCAACAATGTGGGAAATGTTGATTTGATATGACGTCCATGAACCAAACCTGAAACTGGCCTTGGAGACACTTCTGTGTGAGTGGAACATCGTCGATACAAGAAGGACTCTTTGGACGTTTCACTTCACAATCTTCGCACGTGGTCATCACTCTGACTCCTAACATCTATCAATTGTGAACTCTTGGTTGAAAAAAAAAAAACATGGATTGACACGACCTGATCTAAAAAAGGGAGGTCTTCTTGGATTGAACCTCAGTCTATTCTATACAGTACATATTGATAGGATTTGGCAAAACACAAATGCCTTCCCCTCCACGATCGGTCCACCACCAGGGACGGACGTTCGCTCCACCCGTCCGCGAGCGACGTTCGCTCCATCCGTCCGGTGCCGCGTCCTCGTTGTAGTTGGGGCTCTTGGTCATCAAAGCCTGGAAGGATGCAAAGGCCATGGCGTTTTGACCCATTTGGTTCACCAAACCTCCAAGGTCATCCCATGTCATCCCCAGGCAATGCCTCCATCCAGTGGCTGAAAGTGCGGTTATACATGGTTAAACGCCAGTGCTTCCCATGTGTGTTCCAGTCATTTCTCATCATTTCTCCTGAACAGGTGTCCACACAAGAGAGATGCAAGCGCAAAATGGATGCTCTGAACGTAGGGGGCCATCCGCGCAAAATAGATTCAGGAAGTGTTTCTTCTTCGAGACATCCGCCTTTTCCGGGCCGACCAGGGCCGGTTGCACCGCCAAAAGCGGAGGAACGTCCGGCGATGTACGTTATCCGAGCGGAGAGATCCTAGCGGTGGCCCGAGCGAGACAATCCGAGGCACCGGGTTGGAGCAAGTGTAGCTGGCACACTCCAAACGTTCGCAGCATTCCTCCTTGGTGCTACCAAGCACCACATCACCTCAGACATATGTGTTGACTGCACGTATATAGATGAGATCTTCAGGTGAATATTTAGCTTTGTAAGGTCATCTGGGTGCGGCTAGGTGTGAGGCTCCCTGTCCATCCCAAGTTCATCCCCTATTCGGTCACCTTATACATGGATCGAAAGCATTCGAAAGCACTATTCATCCTTTGTGAGCTGTGGGTACCTAGTCCTAGGTATGCTCATCAGACCTGTGGACATGATGGCAGAATATAGGAACAACAGAAAATGCCCCATGGCATGCACAGCACCCCACACTCAAACCCAACAGCCACAATGCGACAGAAAAGGGCTGCAGGACCAGGCAGGAATTCACTCCACAACACCTGTGATCCCCTCCAAAAAGATCAGAATTCCAGAAATGAAACAATGATTGTTAATCAGATTTAATGTGTTTTAATTTGCACTGGTAACTGACCACCCTCTGACCAGCGCACGTATTCTCATTAAACATATTCAAGAAAGGATCCACATATTCCTGAAACACCCAGAAACCGCTCGGTCAGGTGGCTTCCCGGCTTCCCCCACGCCCACCAACGGACTGGACATCAACAAAGACCGTCCAAATACACCCAGCCCAGCACGGTGTTTCAAGGGGTCTTGAAAGTCATGATGATGTTTCCTAGAGACCTGTGCCCACATCTAGTCATGATGTTGACGGTCATTGCATGGGTATCGGGAACCCCGTTGTCACATCCGGGGTGGTGAGAGAACCAACTAGACATCATACTCATAATGCTATACGTAGCATGTCTAGAGTACCAGAGTTCTTCTTTGCTCAGTTCAGACTACGGAATGAGCTGGTGGGCACATGTTTCATGCAACCACCGAACCGCTGTGACACCGATGTGGGTCTCTCAGTGCTTCCGGGCGATGTGCTGATCCCCCCACTTCACGACGCCCCGTGGCACGTGCGTGGCACGCGCGTTTCGGGTCAAGTGGCCCTTGCTGATCCACTTGGTGTCATCTTTGCAAAGGTCAGTCGGGCAGTACCTGGGTGAAACGGGTGGTGCTGCTTCCGGCGCAGTCCAAATTCCGGCGGCTTTGGATTTGACTCCCGCCACTGATGCCATATAATTATATGGAAGTAAACTGCGAGTGATCCAGATCCAAAAGTTTCTCTACATGCTTTGACTTTGCCAAGCATAGCTTAAACTTTAGTATTGATTTTGTATGTGTTTTTCCTGATCATGCCATTAAGAAGCACCTGGTAATGGTTGATTTCCCAGTGGCGGCCTTTGGAGAATGTCTGTGGCACTTCTTCCACGTCTTGGACCACGCCATGGCACTTTGGGCTGCAGCACGTGGAGTTGTCATGGCCTTTCTTCTCACTGAAGTTGGCAGCCTCCAGTCAGACCCGCTTCGCAGCGACGCAAAAGCCCGACCCAAACAGTTGAACGCTCAATGTGTTCAGGTTTTCTCAGTAATTCGGGTTCCAATGGTGTTATTTTTTCTCCCGTGGGCGTCGAACGACCAACAGAAATCATGTGGCGTGCTCTTGCCACCCAAGGCCTGACTACCGAAAAGCGCGCGAAAGCACTGATGACCGCTCGGGACTTCCCCCAGCGCCAGCTCTTTCATTTCTATGGCAAAGTGCAGGCCGTTCTCTGATCTCAACATGTCTTTTTCAGAGTACCGCTTCCAGTTTGCTTCAGGCGCTTCAGGCATCCTTTTGGGTTTGGTAGCAACACGCAGGAAAAGTGTGTTGTATTGTTTGTCTCCGTGGATCTTGTCTTGTGTTCGGCCTTTCAACATCTCCACTAGTTATCCGAAAAGCTTCAGCTTCAGCTTTCATCCCACACCAAACGAAGATCTACATACATGAGCTTAAAACTACAAGCTGAAACAAACAAGGGAAATGCACCTCAGGATCACCCAATGGTCCTACAGCCCAAACCACAGTAAACAGGAGTCGGACTTATGATGTTCCTGGCTTTCACCGGGGGGGTGCAACCGATTGGATTGGAGAGTTTGACAGTTTGACATGTTTTTTTGACGAAAGAAGGTAAACATCCGTTGCAACGGCAAAATGGAAGGCTTGAATCGAAGGAACTGAAGCGAAGTGATGGGATTTTCCCCACCCCTCAGTTGATCCACTAGTGGTCGTTAGGGTCAGTACTGCACTTGTTCCTTTCTCAATACTATAACTTGCAAAGAAGCTTGGCCAACGCAATGCTGCATTTGTTCAGGCCTGAGATAGATGTTTGAGGATGTTTGAGGCTGGGAACATGATTTGTGCAATAGTTGCCTCAGATTCTTCGGAGCGGGCTGGCCCTGCCCTAAAATCTTTTGGTGCGTCTCTTGCATGTTATTGGAATGGCCTTGATTCTGACAGGTGAAGAATCGTGAAGCTGGATCCTCCGCAGCGCAGGCGTTACGCGACCATGACCCCCTGTCTTCGCCTTGGTGTACATGCTCTCAGGCATACACACATTGTCCAGGTCCGCACACATCCTGCGAGGAAGCGCCGGATCCATCCAAGTCCCCTCCGAAGCGAAGCTTCGGTTTGACTCAGCATTGGGTGTCGGCACCATGCAGAAAGATTCAGATTGCCCCAAGCCCGAGAAATACCATGATTCGTCAGTTCAGCCTAGCCTGGGGTTGAAAGTCCAGGAGCCGGTTCAACATCCGATAAGAAACATCGCTCAAGGCTCAAGCAAAAATGGCCTGCGAGATCTCTACACTCTACAGTAGCAAGTGGTACAAGATGGCACGAGTACGTAGAAAAGAAACTGCATTCATGGCCATGAGCGGAACACAAAACACAGCCTTGTGCCATGCTCTTCGCAGAAATGATTGCCTCTTTCCTTTGACACCTTCCAACAACGACGACGCCTCATCTCAACAGACCCTTCATTGAGCGCGTCCTCATTTCACAGCAGCGGGTTGCTGAGAAGCCGAAAACGCCCGTGCCCTTCTTCCTGGGCCAAGTTGTTCGCTGTAGAACGAATGATGTGGACAAACGCCATTGCTACAAAGATAAGCAAAAACAACATGTGTGTGTGTGAGATACCAAATGGACAACTTGCTCAACTCGGCAACTGAAGTATAGAGAGATGTGTATATTATGAGAGGGGCCTGTTATGGGCGGCAGGAAATTAAGACAAATGTTATTGTTTTTTGCAAATCCTATATAAATGAAATGAAACCAGGTATGAACAGATTACACTTTCACGCACATAGTGCTTCAGGAAAAATATGAACCAAAATTTGAATTAGAGCTGGACATGGGAATAAAGAAAAAAGACAGTACTCTAGGATTAGAAAATGAAAAGGAAAGTATAAACAAACAAATTAACAATTCCTGTCAGTTATCAGTTTCCTTTAAGCAGGATACATTGATATAATTCCTTGCGTTGTCCCCTTCAACAATGATAAATTCCTTTAATGTTTCTTTCAAAACATATCAACTCTTCTCATTACTTTGCAAAGGAACATGAAAATATCTAATCATATTTAAAATGAAAAAGTCATCCATGTCTTTTTAAGAAAAATGAAAGGAATGAGGTCCTCTTTAAAAGAAACAATAGAAGGAATTATATAATCATTTGTAAAAGGAGAACGACATGAGTTAAAAGGAATTGATTATAACAATCTTGAAAGGAAAATGCAAATGAGTAATCACGTTTCAAGGGAAAATACAAAGCATTGATCATTTTTGCTTAAAATATGTTCATTTTTAAATTGAGTCATGCCTTTGTTGCCCTTTCAAAAGGATATATTTCCTTTTATTACCCCTTTAAGAATGATAAATTCCCTGCATTCATCCTTTGAACATATATGTTCCTTTCAATTTCTATTTTAGTAATGATGATTCCCGTTCATTTTCCCTTTTAACCTGAGCCATTCCATTCACTTTCCATTAAAACATGATGTTTTCAAGTGTTTTCATGCTTAAACAAAAAAACTCATACTTTAAAGGGAATATGAACGGAATTAACCATGGTTAACAGGATTTTCCATTAAAACATGATCACTTCCCTTCTTTTCTAAAGGACATGAATCATGTTTAAACGGGAAATGAAAGGAATTAATCATGGTTTAGATGAAAATGAAAGGTGTTAATCATGTTTTCACGGAAATTAAATGGAATAACAACTTAAAGAGAGAAGGACAAGGATTCATCAGTACTAAAGGAAAAGTGGAAGGACTTAGCAATTCCTTTCACTTTCCCTTTAAAAATGATAACTTGTATAATTTTTGAACAAACAATAATCATTTTCAAAAATGTTATCATTTTGAAAAAGACTGTCCCTTTAAACCTGCTCACTTCCTTTCATTCTTAAACGAAATGAAACAATTTGTTTGAGGAACATGAAAGTGATTATCATGTTTAAAAGGAAATAATCATTGTTAGAAAGAAAATAGAGAATTAGCGTTTTTGTTAATGGAAAAAATGAAATAATCATATTTAAAGTGAAAAAAATACATATTAAAAGGACATAATAATGTTTATGTTAAAAGGAAACAAACCGCAAATAAGCATTGTCAAAAGGAAAGGTAAATGAAATAATCACTTGGAAAAGGGATAATTTATTGTTTAAATGAACATAAAAGGAAATAGTTATGTTTAAACGGAAAATACAAGGACATGCATTGCTAACATGAAATTAAAGGAAATGATCAGCTTAAAAGGACATATACTAAAAATAATAGTGCTTTAAAAGGAACATAAAGGCATCAACTAGTTTCCAAACAAATGAATAATGAAAATATTCATGTTGAAAGGACAAGGACAATAAACGGACATAATCAGTTGTTTTAAAGGTAGATAGAATAAATAAAGCAGCTTTTAAGGTAAATAGAAGGACATAATCATGGTTTAAAGCAAAATACACGAAAACATGTTTAAAGAAAACATGCATTGATCATGTTCAAAAGGAAAATGGGTGACCGGACCTATTGGCTTCCGTTCTTTTATTTTTGGAAAATTTGCACCAGTTTGCCTAGTTTTACTATTGTTGAAAATGGGGGGCGACCGGAGCTCAGAGCCAGGACTGTGGCATGCGAATCATTGAGAAAAAACCTTTAAAAATAACACACTAATAACAACAAAAAAAACAAAGATTTGGCAACTAGTCCAGAGATCAGACTAGTTGTGGAAACATGTTTTGTTTTTTTGTGTTTTCACAATAATTCACATTGAATAGTATTTCCTGAGAAGTCTTGCTGTGAAAACTGTTGCTTTTACATTAAGTATTATTAATCCAGAATCATCTGTGCTTCTAGAGTGCAGCAGGCAAACGCAGCCAAATACAGGCACACATCCTCTCATGCCACCCATGCAGCAAAGCCAGTGGTAAGCTGTGGATTTGGTCAAATGTTGCTCCAATATATAATATATATCCCAATTGTCTCAATTTTCTGCCGCCCACAACAGGCCTTTCTGGATACTATATATACAAAGCCAAAGTAAAAACCTTGCATATTTGCTGCGCTTCTCCATCTTGGGAAGCCCACATGATTCTTGTATATTCTTGCTAACTTCCCTCAAAGTCTATTTATCGCACGTAGACAAGAAAGCGATTGACGCAAAACAAACTATATATATATATAAATTCGCATGACATGCAATGTTCTCAGATCAAGGGCGGTCTCAGCGAAGAAGAAGCAAAGAAGTGGGCCACACAAAGCAGCCCGCGTGTTGAGGAGCTACGGTGGGAGCTGCGTGAGGAGCTGCTCAGGAGCTACGTGCATTCGAAACCTGGTTTTCGAACGCTACATACTGGTTTGACAGGGGATCTTTTGAAACCCTACTAAACCAGAATACATACCCAGCGCTACTACTCACTGACGTGCTCATCAGGTTTTGGTGGCACATGACTCGGTCGCACTCTGTTCACCAAAGCGTCTTCATCGCGGGCGATGGGCATTCAAAGTTGTCGCAGGACCTGTCGGGAAGGCGTCGGTGTCATCGATCGAACATGATTCGATGCGACTGGCCAGTTTGGAGGATTGAAACATCCCAAGTAACCGGTGTTCAAGCAAGGCCTTCCAAGCAAGGCACCTGAAAAAAGAACAGTTGCTGTTTTTGAAGAGGCAAACAAATCCGGATTCCAATGCGATTTTCTTGATTCGTTTACTGGGAGTTGAGCAACATCTTCAGAATTCAACATATTTGTGGATTGATTTCGTGTTCCCATGCCGTTCATTCTTGATGTGCCCTGTGTCATTGTGCTTTGGTTTCCTTCCTCGTGTCTTACTTCCTACATTGACCATGCAAGGAGGTGAGGAGCAGGGACGGCTCTGTAACCTCTGGGAGCCTCTGGGACACGGCTGCTTTCGGTGGGGAACTGGTACCTCCGTATACCGCCCACTGCAAGCACAGCAGCTACAATGACTTGCAGTTGGAGGCAATCGAGCATGCAACACTTTCCAAAGTTTACGGACTTATGTCTAAGAGGGGAGTGGAAAAGGTCCAGTCCCTTGTGCAACAACAGCCTCACACCCTCTTCAACTCTTTGACAACGACTTTTCCAATGGTGACGAACAATGTGGAACCAACCGGCCCAAATCAATGTGGAGAGAGGATACCCAACATATCTCTTCATGAGGCCCGGCCGAGATACCAAAGGAAGTCACAGTAAGCAGGATTTGAGAAAACAAGAACGGGAGGGACCCAAGACAAATCTCTCCTCGCCCAGCAAAAGGCTGTATGTATGGCAGGAAGATTAGTCAAAAAAGTTTGGCCAGATTAATTTGAAACCTTAGGAGCTATTGAAAGTCGGTTACAGTAAATATGGCAGGAAACAGTTAAGCCAATCATGTAATAGGGGCAGGGGAGTCAATTACTGAATCATGGCATGACAAAGCGAGAACAGTTTCACGTCCATGGTTTCATGATGTTCCATGGTTTCAGGCCACTTTGGAGAAGGGAGAAGGGAAAAAACACCCCTCTCTGGATCCGTGCCATCGAAGTTGCTCCGAGTCTTCACTAAAAGAACATGCAGCCCAAGGCGCCGCGGGGCCAAGCAAATGTTGGACATCACAATCCTCAGCCCAACAACGAGGCGTTTTGGGGTCCTTTCCCTCCAAGGCTATAATGGTGTTGGTATCATCACATCTACCCTGCGGAGCAGGGTTTGGAACCCTTGAGAACTTCCCCCTCTAAGGTTCCAAATTCTTCGGGTGGCTCAATGGTTTCAACATGTGTTCATTGGAATGTGCTTCAATCCACCTTGAAAGTACCAGTATCCAAACAAACCATACGAGTTGAGTGATGGGAAGATCCGAAAATTCCCTGGAAGAAAGGTTGAACACAACTCTCCCAATGCCTACCACCCGCATCCACCCGTCCAGAAACGCCTCAAATCTCCAAACACACAATGCGAAGACACTTTCCAGAAGTCCACAAGGCTGGATGTTTGTACTGAAACTCTACATCGTCGCCGGAAATCTCCACAGTATCTGTGGCCTCATGATCCGCGGCATTTGGGGAACGAGTCGGCAGCGAATTTGCTGAAAAGCACTCTCTTGGCCGATCATTTCCTTGTTGACCAGCGTGAACAGTAGAAACACGATAAAAATCATCTAGAAATGAACTATAAATTAGAATGATATACAATCGTTTCACAACAATAAACAAAACGACAACCTGACACCATGGCGCGCAATGGGACACATGATATCCCAACATCGGTTGAGGTCAAGATCTGCGTAATCAATGCCAATACTATTGGGATCGATTGGGGTTTTCACTTTTCAGCCACCAGAAGGCAGCGGGTCACAGCCCCACATTCAATCTGACAGTATTTCATGGTTTGGTGTTGTTTGCCTTTCACCAGGGGCGCCAACAAGGAGTGTTCACATTCCCGCGCTGGTGGTCGACAAATTTTCCTCGCCTGAATGTCGACCTCTTGAGCACCAGCTGGCACTGTGATCTTCAAGAAACCTCCTGTTGCCAGTCGGATGATCGTGTCTGGCATAGCATTGGTGATCGTCCCCATTCAAACCAAATATATACGGGAAATGGTCAAAACCTGCTGAGAACCGCCGGCATATATGTTCAACATCACCCAGAAAGCATCTATCTTGCATGCATGCTGGCACTCTATCTTGCATATTTTCTGGCACTCTATCTGGCATCTATTTTGGAATTCTATCTCGCTCATATTATAGCATTCTATGGCATATTTTCTGACATTGTGTAATTCTATCTGGCATTCTATCTGGCATAAACTCTGGCATATATAACTTCTGGCATTCTATCTGGCATGTTTTCTCGCAGTTTATCTGGAACATTTCAATTTCTATCCGGCATACTTTCTCGCATTCTATCTGGCACATGTTCTCGCATTCTATCTGCTGGTGCCCACTGCGATCTTGAGTTCGCGGATCGGTTCCAGTGGTGCTCACTGCGATCTGGCGCTCTCATGGTTCAGCAATGACCACTGCGATCTGGCGCTCGCGGTTCAGGTCCAGTGGTGCCCACTGGCATCTAGCAGTCGTGGTTCAGGTCGGGTGGTGCCCTCTCCACTCTGGAGCCCGCTGCGAAGGATTCTGGAGGAGGAGGTGGAGAAGGAGCAGCTGTGACAAGATTTAACAACCCTCACCTGGCAGGTGGGGGACAAATGCATCCCTCTGGCCAGGACATAGACAGTAGTGCAAACACTTTCCAGGCAAAATGAGATTAGGATGATTCGTGAGTCGAACTCTAAAGATACACATTAGCACCCCTAATCGAACGCAACACTTCCACTACTGAATAGCTCCGGCCCGCGGCCGAAGCCAACCGCAGCAAAACTCTTGGGCGAAACCACTTCACGCAGCCGTCTCCTGTGTCCCCCGAGGCAAAGCCAAAGGTTCGAGGCACCTTCCCAGAACAAAAGACGGGACGACTTAGCGAGTTCCTGGTGGTCTAGAACCGTTAGGCATTTTTTTGTTGACACACTTTGGGCATATGTTGCAACTCTTTTGCAAAGATACAAACATATCGTATGGTAGCTAAGTTATGGTAGTTTCTTGTTGCTTGGTTTCATGGGTGGTTCCTTCGCATGACAACCATCTGACCCACGCTCAATTGAGCATCTTTCAGTCATTCGGATTGTGAGGACACCAACCATCAAGAAGCCTCTCAAGACTTGTTGATCTCATCTGTCGTGCTTTGTTCGAAACTGATGTGCCGTTGTTGTGACTATAGACTATAGTGGGATTCGTCAACAATCCTCAATGGGATGTGTAACCTGTATCAATCCGGGGTCAAGTATTTTATTTGATCATGGTATCTGCCCACAGTAGATGGGGGCAGTGTCCTCCATGTAGTAGGCATGTCCACTTAGGGTTGAAGTGTACTTTTTACAACAAACCGCTTGTCTTTTGATCGGATCTGATACCCATATTCCAGGGTCCACTTTTGGGGCTATATATATATATTATTCAAGTCGTCTACACTTTCAATCGTCAGCGAATCGGATTCCAAAAATTCCCTCCAGCCCTTCCAGCCTAGCCAGAGCCAGCCAGCCCAGCCAGTCACCGTGACACCAACTTCTGAGCTCTCAACTTCTTAGCCCCTGGGAAATATCATTGAAAAAGAACACCGACACGCATGGATGGGGTTGTCCACCAGTGAGTCTGTGTTGCATTGGCCAAGACCACATGTGCCGCCGCCGAAAAAACCAGGCGCAGATCAGAAGTGCGGGGATTTGCGATGCCCTTTATTCTTTCTCGGACTGCCTGGCTGTCTGAGGTGAAGGTTGCCTTCAAGAGCCAAGGCATCCCGATTTTCCACTCCGGGTCCTCCTTCCTTAAGGGCTCAAAGTGAGAGATATGCGACGAGGCGGATTCTGGACGACTGTGATGTGGCCCAAAAAGAGCAACTTGACTGGTTTAACATGCAAAGAGTGAAGACCGCTTTGGAAAAAGGATAAGGATATCGGATCCATATGATAAATATCATACATAGACTGCAAAGGACTCAAACAATCTAAAGCATACTAAAACGTTCACACCAAAAGGTTTCAGGCGCTTCAAGAACTGCTTCCGACCTCAAAACAGTCCAAATACGCAGGTATTTTGCCGAAGCCACCGTCAGGGGGACTTGGGATCTTGGTCGACTACTTGAAGCTCAGCGATGATTATGGGGCTGGAAGTCAAACATTAGATGAACTCGGACCTCCCCTGTAAATTGCCTGGGTGCTGTGGGATCTGGGAGTTCGACGCACCTCTGGGAAGCATCCAGATATAACCTTTAAGGACCACCCTGTCCAGTGATCGATTGAATACTGGGGATCCATTCATATGTGCAGAGTACACACCTAGACCCAGGGCCAGGGATTTGCTAAAGTATCCCAGGTTTCCAAACATAGTAGTTACATAATAAATTAACATATAAATATACAATATACAATATATTTTTATATATAGAATTCAAGATATAAGTCTTGCACTGCAATCATAGGGTTGAACAATGTTTACTTCAACATCCTTCAGACTGGCTCCAAGCATATTAGACTGGCTCCTGTCTCAAATACATGTCCAACACCAAGAAAAACCCGGATGTCGAATTCGACGACTTCTAACTTCCGGTTTCCTGGCCCAGCAGGAAACACCCCTCCAGCGCCCAGTGGCAACGCAGCCCGAAGCTTTTCCAAATCAAAGACCGAATCCATGGGATTCATGGCCTTCCCACCGTTCTCGTCGTCCACCTGTTCCAGAACTCGAGGTCAACGGTCGTGACATCGTGACAGTGAACTGTTGCTTTCAGAGGTGAGGAGTTTACGTGGGATCACATGCCGGGTCTGTCTCCAATCTTGCTTTGTGCACTCAACCTGCCCAGATCGTCTACCACCTGAACATCTACATGTTTTCCGGTGAAACCACCTTGCATTCTTCAACACCTCCAAAAAAGCCCCTGCAGTCTTGGAGCTTGGAAGTTGCCCCAAAACCCGTGTGATGCCAACCCCTCAAGCGCGTGCGTGTCCCGCCATCACGATCTTCTTCGGTAGGGAGTCGGGGAACCTGCAGTGGAAGCTGGTGGGTGAGGGTGGGTGTCGCCGGTGTCGCAAGCCGTTACCAGTAGTGAGCCATCCGATGGTCAACACCAGAGGTACAGTATGCGTTAATGTAAGGTACCATATGTTAATCTTAAACGTCCCCCAAAAAACAACTCATCTCACAACAACTCCCACAGAAATGTGGCGGCTACACTAGTTGGGGAAATCAGTCAAGTTACAGTTGTTGCAATTGTGTGTTTTTGCATATTCCCAACACGAACAAAGCAAACAAAACACCGCCCCCCCTTGCTGGCCCCTGGGAATTGACTCTGAAATATCTGAAATCACTGTGGACTTAGGTCGGGTATATCCAAGCTCTACACTCACTCTAGACGAGCTCACTGCACATGCGAGTTGGGAATTGAATCCTTCACATCAAGGCTAAGTTGGCTCTTGCTCGTGAAACTACACGATCATCCGGGACCAATCTCCTGACTCTTGAGCAAAACAGCGGAAGCCCCAGTCAATGTGCAACAAAAAACGAAGCATATTGATTAAAGATATTAAAGCATTCAGTATTATACGGTAGATGCTTTATGAAATGCTTGGGAAGTACCAGTCACTCAATTGTCCCTATGAATTTGATAATCTGAAACTAGCCGAACCAAATACCTTAAGATACCTTAAGTGCCTAGCAGCAAACCCATCTTACGGGTTCGAATGGAGGGGTTCGTTCGTGGCTAGCCTGATTCACACCATTTACCCACATCCTGTGGCAGTTTGGATGTTGACGGCATCTTGTTGCTGCTGGGAGTGTACAATACCAGAAGGACCCCCAGTTAAACCACCTGGTACTGTAGAGGTAAACAATCTTCTATCCCCATGACCCATGTCTTTATTGCTAAACACCAAAATAATGCTGTTTCTTCATATGGTGAGCACCCCCGGAGAATGCCTGACACAAACATCAAACATCAAGTAAGTGTGTTTACCTGTTTTTCATGAAACCTGTCAAACACCACTTGCTTTGAGCCCTTCAGGAAAGCGAAACAAACACCTGTCCAACACCGTTTCCGCTGCGACGAGTCGCCGATTGGTTAAGCCCTTAGGGCATGGGTCTTCGCCCTCCTCCGCGGAGAGCTGCAGCCCGGTCCTCACCTGCAGAGTCGGGTGGGACCGATTGTGAGGAGACGGACATCAAACAGGAGGACGATCCATTCCAGGACAAGGAGGACGAACCATTCCTGGTTTCGTTTGCGTGTTGTGTCTTTTTTTACAGGCAAAAACGAATCTCTCCGTTGCAGGAGACCTTTGGACACGTCGCTTATTTATTCATTTCTTTGTTAAGGTAATGCAAGGACACAGAAGGGGTCCTATGATGCAATCATGCTCACTCTGTTCTTCGAAGCGGAATGGCATTTGCACACAGGTGCGATCTACTCCGTCCTTGGCTGCATCAGCCACCATGGCAAGCACCAGGAGGCTAAGCTTCATCATGGTCGGAGAGAAAAGGGGGGCTTCGCCGCCTACAGATCAGCTGAGCCCTGAGCCAACAAAATCGGCTGCGCCACGCAACCCATCGTTTACATGGTTGATCATGGTCCAAATCCGGGTGAAAGTAAAATCGGATGGCACAGCTCCTGACTATTCAGTCAGTACTAGTCAAAACACTGAACTCCCAGTCAAAAACAAATCGCAAACTGGAAGAGAGTGTCTTCCAACAAAGTCCACACCAGGATCGTTTTCAGGGATTGGTTGTCTTTTCTTGTTGTCTTGGGACCTCTCCATCGGCCTGTCTGCAGTCAGAAAGGACAAACTCATGGTCTAAGTGAAGGTATTGAATCGGGGAAGGTCAAGGACGAAGGACAAGAAGGATTGAAACGGTTGTTGGAGGTCCATCCACATTGCCATTGACGATTGCTTGAAGCCTTGAAACTATCTGGGCCGGTCTGGGCCTAGTCTTCTTGCACCCATATTGAGGTGATCTTGGAGGAATGAGCTCGTGCGCCGTGGAAGCTTTGCTTGGTGTTATTGTCGGATATGGTCGGTTTTGGGACCACCACTGCTGTCCTAGAAGCGCGGATCAGCAAAAACATGTTATCAACTACCTGTATGTGGGACTGTCTAAAATATGCTTCAGGATTCTACATTCTACATGACAATGTGAAACATGACCTTCTCCACCACCAGATCAACAATACCTGAGATTTCAGTTCAAATTGCCAAGTAGGAGGAACTGAATTGCCCTTGAACCATTGGCCTTATACTATAGTAAATATACATATATATATAATGTATACATACTGGCGTTTAGATCTCTTCGCCTGGCGACGCCAGCCTCACCTAAGCTATCCATCCAGGAGCCCCGGCGATCGCAACCATCTTCGTACTCCAAGCACCTTTCTTCGAATTCAGTGGCAAAACCTTGGGAGGACTTGATCCCTACATCTGCAGACTGTTCCGTATTCTATTTGGTAACTTGGAGTTTTGGGCATTGATTTTCACCTACTATAGATGCTTTGCTGGAAGCTGAACCTTTACAACCACTCCAACAAATGGTTTCTCTACTGTTGCTGTTCCACTTCCCTTCCTGGTCTTTGGGGGTTATAACTACCTCTTGAAGGGCTCCTGAAGCCTGGAGGGGAACATACTAAAATATCGGGATCCCTGTGCTAAACCTGAGGGAACTGTGTGTGTGTGTGTTTGTGTTGGTGGGGCATGTCGCTAGCCGCACACACACACACACACATCACGTATATCTTAACATACCTATGTATATGTACATATGGCCTTTGAAAGGACCTCGGTTGTTTGTGTGCAATTCTTCTTCAAACGATCATCATCCCATATCATCCCTTTGTAATTGCTGATGGGAAGCTTCCCCTGCATCAGCACTGGACCGCCCGACGTACTAGATATGCTGTGCCCACTTCCCGGACGACGGGGCTGTGAGTTGTGAGTCAAACATGTGAAACCAATGTCAAAACCCTCAACACCAAACACATCCAAACATGTCGTGGGTTGCCATCGCGGGTGGACCCTTTTCTTGATTTAGGGAGCCAACCAGGTTCCTGCGGCTCAAACCCACGGCCATTGAAAGCTAATAGAGCAACTGGCAACCCCTGAATCTGTCTTCGTCTTTTTGTCACAAGAATCCTGCGGGTCGCGAAGCCCGCGAATCACAAGCACGACCTGTCATGGCTCAAACAAGAGCAGGGTATGCGGTATGCGCGACGTGAGCATGCTCCAAAATAAAGTTGAAAAAGGTTCCCTGTCCTCAGCTTCCAAAGCCTCATTCGAACAATTCCAAGACCAACTGCCAGCATGACCCACTTGATGAGGTCCAACAGCACCTTCAAGATCCCCGTGTACTACATCAGCTCGGCCGCTACTTAAAAAGATCGCGTTGTTCTTATAGGGAAAGCCAAAAAAAATATGAAACAAGCATCAGCTTTTCTCCACAGTGGCCAAAAAAAGAGTCCGGTCGGAAGAAGAGTGCAGTCCCGTCAATCCAACGTCTCGGATTCTTCCCAAAAAAACATGTTCCTTGGTGGAGGGCGCACCCGCATGGCCACTGCGATCTTACCATCCTCCTTGGCACTAAACAGGGGATGGGACCCACTGCCATGTTTGTTTGGGGGGTCACTGGGAAACCCATATTAACCCTAGGGATCCACATAAAAGGACACTGAAAAGGTGCTGCTGCTGAAAACCCTCCTGGTGCCAACACAAAAGCTAGACTGCTAGACCGCTCTTGGCGAGACCGCTCTTCCAACCTCCAGTCTACCGGTCTCTGACTGCTGGTGAAAAGTGAAGATGAAAGTTACTCCAACCTAGAAGCGATGGCCTCCAACCTACTGGCGATGGCCTGCAACCTAAGAGCGATGGCAACTTCATAGCATCTGCCGGCAAAGTCTCTGGGTTTGACTTTCTGCAGCTTATCGATTCTCGTTGTTGATCGGTGCGGAATGTCCAAAGGCAGGTTTTGTTTGGTCGGCAGACCCCGAACAGGGCATTGCCATCAAAGAACTGTTGTTTCAAAGGGACCCCGAAGGGATACGAGCTCTGAACAACTAGAGAAGAAGCAAATTCTTCGTGAAACACCTCGAAATCCAGAATATAGAAAACATAATCTGACAATAATGAACATCTGCCTGCTCACCGCCACCTAAATTGTTTGTCTGTTGAGTCTATTGGCCACCAATTCCTCAGCCTTTCCCAATGAATCAAGGTATGGAAATGAACAAAACTCTGGGTCAAAATCTGGAACTCGCAAGTTATGGTATTTGCATGTTTTAGCGTCTTACATAACAACTAACTAGAACCAAACACCCACGGACCATGGTAGCGTTCACATCCCAGTGTCATTGTTGATTAACCATGAATGAATCATGATCGACCAACACAAATTTGACACTGGAAACTTCCAAAGGTGACGGATGATACCATCTACAAGTCATCCTGCTGTTTGTGCCATCTATTCTGACAACCACCAGACCACTGGACCACTTCGCCCTGCAGGCGCCCGACCTCCGCTTGCAGCACCGAAGCTTGCCCCGAGGACCTGGGCGCTTCGTCTGGTGGGAGGGATGCGGACCTGTGTCTAAGACCGTGGGAGAATGATGTGGCTTGCAGAATGGGATGTGGCCTTTGTCTTCCTTCCGTCCCGCATTTGAAAAACCTCGCAAACCAAGTCCACAACGCACAAACGAATCGTGGCTCCGAAACGACTTGGCCATGGTTTTGAGGATTCTCCTGGTCTGTCCCAAACGTCCACCAATGTCCACCACAATTGCCTCAACATTCCCAAACCGAGCAAGTTGTGCTTCCATTAGCCCATCATTCGATCGTTTAAAACAAAGTAGAAATGCTCCCACCGCTAGCCAAATAGATGTATCGCTCATTGTCATCCATTTAAAAAATTTGATCCCGGCACACCTAGATAGTTTCACATGTGTCCTTCCATAATCCCACGTTCCTCATCCCACCCCAAATCACCCTTCCCCAAGTGTGGATTGGAAAGACAAACAATGTTCTACTATGTTCAGGATTCCACCTCTCGGCCGCTTGGCCACCCTGCCGCTCCAGGACATGTACTGGCCTGCTTGACCATCCGAAGATCGTTGCTGGCCTGAACAGCTGGAAATCTCATGGCCTCGAAAGTCTGTGCCATGACCACCTGAACAACACGTATAGAACACCGAAACATCGAATTGCGAATTACAAAAGAACACATATGTACCTTTTGGAAAGAATTAATATAAAACATAATCCTGGAAAGATTAATATATACACAGAATCTATCCTTTGGAAAGATCCGTCAAATGACAGTGACTTGGGCGAGGTCAACTCGATGCCTCCGCCACCGAAAGCAGTTTCAACAGTTTTGAGCGACAATAACACCTCGTCGAAATGCTCCAACTCATGAACATGGAAGTGAAAAATAGCATCTGGGACAACTATGTACATCACAAACACATCATGGCGTCCCGCTACTACGTGACTGAGTCAGAGGGGAATCTATTGTAGCACTTGCAGTACCGTGTACCATTCTTCAAACAGGAAATCCACCCACGAACCCACATCTTTGTTGATTGGATGTCGTCGTTTTGATCGTTTCAGATCATATGGATCATATGGTCAGTTTACGGATGTTTAACCTAAATGTTCCTACGGTTGCCTTTGAAGTTTAACCCAATCCTACGGTTGCCATTGAAGTTCCAATACAAAGGCCATGGCAAAACAGGTTAGACATGAGAAATCAAGCTCAATTTGTTTAATGTGTACATTGGAGTGGTTCAAGGGCTGGGGGTGGAATTATTTCACCACACCAGGGTTCACTGCCATGATTCTCAAGTTATACCTAGATACCTACAGTAGATCTTCCAACTATATATGTAAAATCGTCGCCTTTGAGCTGGTTTCATAGATGAAAAGGCAAACATTTGTGCACAGTTGGAAGATCTGGGCAATTTTATCTATATATATAATATTATCTGAGGGCTCTTTGTAACACCACAAAACTCTATAGTCTATGGATGTCTATAGGTTTATCTGGCCGCGTGGCAACCATTCCTGTTGCCATGACAAACAGAAGATGCAAACCATCACCAGTGGAACACACAATGTTGCTGTTCTGTAATCTTCCAACCCATCCCGGTTCAATCGCCCAAATCGTAAAGCCCAGCGCAGAAACCCAAAGGGCAAAACCACTCCGTGTTGGTGTCTAGTCTATTCCTTCATATCTACGCGATTGACAACCCTTGAGCACGTGGTTTTGCTGTTGTTTCATGTTGGTTTTTCCTCCAAGCAGTTCGTGATTTCATCGCTCGTCAGTTCGTCACCTATGACCTATCATCTGGTTGTCACCTATCACCTATGGGGCTCTGTGTGGCTGAGAAAGTCTCGTTTGCCGATGCCCTTCACGCAACTTCCACGAGGTTGGAGGCGACCATGATCAGCCAGAAACACCACGAGTGCCGGGTGCTCTGTGGGTCTTGGGCCTTCATGAGCGCCTGCATGGCCACATCAGCCTGACACAGTCGTGGACCAGCAATATCTGTTCTTCTACAGTCCATGACTTGTGTGTCTTCCTAAAGGAAAAGCACCATCAGCACCTTCATCACGGATGTGGTTAGCTTCGGTAGTGTTCCAAGGCAGAAAATACGCGAGAACATCAAACACATGTTTCCCATGTAATTACGACAGTACACCAGCATTGGTGGTTTCTGGCCTTGTTTCTGCAGGTCCGCTACACTTGACACAAAGAGTATGGTCGACGGCGAAGGTACCTATGCATAGAGCTTAACTGGAAGTCCTTCATTCCGCGGTCGACAATGAACATGATGTGCACATCCTACGGCTTCCTACATACAGCTCTGTGGTTCGCGGCATTGGAGATTGTTGCTTATGTTACTTGGCGATTGTTAGCCATGGGCCATGGCGCATTCCGACACCCGAGCCTACTGGCGAGCCTCATATAATAGATTCACGTGGGAGTCCCAAAAGGTATAATTTTGTTTATAAGTTTGTTTAATGGTGTTATCAAAAGTCCGTTTGTTTTTTTCAGATGGAATGGCTCCAAAACTAATATTGGAATACAAGCTGGATAACAAGTGGCTCAACTAACTGTGAGACTGTTCAGAACAAGGGAGTTTGCTCTGTCTAGCTTGTCCGAAACTGCCCTCAATGATTTGCAATGAGTGCAATGCTTTGCTTGCTCCAGTCCTGAAGGTAGCACAACCGAACACGGACTGCGTCGACCGACGACGCACGAAGCGAAAGCCGCTAGGCCAGCATGCTTTTCTGGCTCATTGATCCTGCCCTTGCGGTATGCGACAACCGGTGGTGGTGTACCCTGCGTGGAGTCCATATCACATGTCATGAATGCTTGACCTATGCAGTCCAGAAATCACATCAACCCCATTTCTGGGCTCCAAAGCGGGTTCCCAACACCATTTGTTCTCAGAGGACCATCCCTCGAGAACCTTCACAAAGAATTCCTGCTGGTGTCGAATGGCTTCTTGCAAAGCCTTCTTCTTCAGCTTTCAGCCTGCAGTGAACTTCTCATCATCTACAAGGCGCCACTTCTGGCCGGCTGCAAGAAACTGCAAAAAGGAACGGCGTTCGTTGCCTTTCGTGAGGCAATCGGCTAGCTGAGCTAGCCCATTCACCCAGCGAAGAGCTGTTGAAATCTGAAGGGCTTGCTGTACAGAAATTGAAAGTTCATATCCTGCCCTAGCCGACCTCAAGCCGTGAAGCGCTGAAACATTTCTAGACATGGCATCAAAAATGCCTCTTGAATCCATGACGATTGCTCCTGCCGTGCAATCGCGTACCTGATGGTACATGGAATGGCGTTCCAGCACAACGCCATGCAGCTCGGCCCACATGGCCCTGATTTCGAAGGTATTGTCTTCGCCTTCTGTGATCCCTTGGATCTCTGCTCCGTTGCTTCCCAACACCTGGCATGGTGTCTTTGCCGACTTCCACGACAACACTGCCACAATGCGCTCCTCGCCATTGGGGGCAAGTCCAGACAACACTCCCAGCGTCGACCCTTTGTCGGGTCGGTTCTGTTGGCCAGCGTCACTCCATGTGATGACCGACAAATCCTGCCAGTGTGATCCCCAATGTGGAAAAATCAAACACTGCTCTGAAGTGCGCTTGATCTCACGAACCAACTTGTTTGCTTTCAATGCTGTCTGCACTGTAGCAAAAGGAACTTCGCTCAGGAGCAAGCCAATGTCTGCAGCGTAGTGAGGGCCAGATTGACTGGCCTTCCAGGCAGCCGATCCGAGAACACCTCGGAGTTGGGTCACTTCTGAGGTCGTCAGGTAGGACTTCACCTCCTTGGAGCGACTTGGGGAGAGCTCCATCTCATCCAGCCATTTCTGGATGTAGTCCTTCTGGTCGATGCGGATCTCCTTGGTGGTTGGGCTTTGACGAATGTGACAACCTGCAAAGTCCATGGCCTCAGACTCCCATTTGCCCCATGTATACTTTGACTTCAATGCTTGCAATGATTCAGTGAACTTTGGATGACTTGAACCACCGATCAACACGTCATCAACGTGAACTCCAGCAATGCCGATCAGGTTGCGACTGTCATCAAACAACACGAACAAGCAGCGGTCTCCCAGGATTGTCTCCCAACCAATGCTCTTCATTGTGTTGCACAAGTCATTGAACCAACAACGAGGCGACTGCACCAAGCCGTAGAAAGCCTTGGAGACCCGAGCCGGCATCACCGGATGGTTCGGGTCAGCACCAAACAACACTGCAAGTTCAGCCGGAGTCCAAACATTCAGCTCCTGTGATTCCAAGCTTTCCTCAGCCTGTAGAAATGCAGCTGTCACATCACCGGCCTGTAGGTTGAAGCCGTTGTTGGCGCAAATTGCCAGAAGGAGATTCCTGGACAATCTCGCCATGGTAGGCGCAGCTGTTTCCACTTCGCCAATGTTTGGCGCCATGAATCCCAGCACGACTAGGCGAGCCTTCGCCTCGCCCGACGCCTTGCGGGTCAGGACCCATCGCATCTGGAGCATCTTCTTGGGGTCCAATGATGCAAACTCAGCTTTTGACAGAGACCTCAAAGCTTTGGATCCAAGAACGTTTGAAAGCTCACGTGCTTGGGCAATGTCAAACTCCTGCTTCTGATCCAATGTCATCTGTGACCAGCGAAGCTCTCGTCCCTTCTCCTGCATCTTGCGAGATAGCCAAATGGATGATTTGGCAGGGTGCTTTGACAAAAACTTCAAATCTGGTTCAGAGACGTCGATCTCGAGGGCATAGAATACCTCCTTGGGAGCCTTGCTCTTTGGGGTTGTGTTGGTGTCCTGCAGCAAGTGGATTTCTCGCTCAGTCATGAGCTCTGCTGAAGAGGCTGCGGACTCCTCGGACTCAACTTCGCTTGGGACCTCGAGCTCCTCAGCTTGAGGTTCAACATCAACACGGCCGTCCTGCTTGGACCATGTAAACTGCGAGCCATCTGCATCCATATGGGGGCCACTATGGCCACCAGGAAGCTTGCACTCCGATGTGGAACACGGAGGCTTGTCATGCACGCCCGGAACGCCATCGACTGCGGAAGGACCGCGGTCTCGAAGGGCGGTAGTCAACGGGCTAATTCCCGGCACGTCTGGCAGCGCGGATCCTTGTTGTTCATCTTGTAGTTCATGTTCAGGACCTCGCTTGGAACTGCTGCTTTGTGCCGCTTCGCTCTTCCTCTTGACGCCAGCCTTGATTCCTTTGGACTTCTTCTGGCCAGTGTCAACAGGGAGCGACTTCTCTCTTTTCTCACGCCCAGGCTTGGGCACGGACTGCTTCATCTCAAACTTGGTCTCACCGACCCAGCGATCTTGCAAAGAACGATTGGGGTCTTCAGACTCCTTGTAGTCATCGTTGATCTCAAACTGTTCGGAGTTCTCTTGAAGACCTCGGAGGATTGCAATACGACGACCTGTCAACTCATCCTCTGCTGCTGGGCATGATGTAGTCCGTGATGATGTGAACATCGCCAACCGTGGGAGAGAGTGCACACGGATGAGCCAGCGACGTTCACCTTCTTCTGTGATCTTCCACGTGTCTGGTCTGTAGACAGCTTGTGGCATCTGTCTGATCTCAGCTCCTTGAAGATCTTGTTGTAGCTGCTCTTGGGAAGGTACCTGACCAGTGACATCAGAAAAATGCCGTCCGGTGAAGGATTGAAGGAGACTTTCCAAAGTGACGGGAAGCTTGAGGATGGCTGTACCCTCAAGCATGGACTTCATCTCCTCTCGACGAGTGCACTGCCTCACTTGAGTCGTCCTGGCACGAATGAGAGTTGCTCCTGTTGCAAGCCACAAGGTATTGCCTTCTTGTAGAAGAAGTCGGACTGGTCCAATCCATGTGCCTGTCGTTTTGCCTGGCTTGTTCCTCTGCCGCCATAGCATCACCAACTGTCCAGCCTTGAAGGAGGTAACAGGTTGAGGAACTGTGTTGCCAAGCTTCGAAAGTCTCACTCGCGCAGACTCCATCTCAAAAGCCACTCTTGCCTTCTCCTTGAGCTTGAGCACGCCGTCAAATGCCTTGCGAGGTTCCACTCCAATAGGCATGTTCTCTAAGGGTGCGGAAGAGCCTCGGACCCATTGGAAAGGTGATTATCCAGAAGGTCCTATGGACTGGTTGTGTCCATGAGCTGCCAAGATCATGGCCAGTTCAACGGATGTGGTTGGCTCTTCTTTCAAAAGACGGTCGGCCGTCGACTTCAGGATGCGAATGCAACCTTCCTCTGCTCCAAGCATTTGATGAGATTCAGCAGGTGTAGTCAACAGGCCGATGCCAGAACGTCCAGCATAGTCCATCACCAGCTGCGACGTATAGTATGTCGCTGAATCTGTCAAGAACCACTTGGGAGCAGGGTAGAACATCCTCCAGCGGCCAAAGATGCGAATCACATCCTCTGACTTCGGCTCCCATGATGGTGGGCCGTCAGGGCCGCCGTACTTCTTGAAAAGCTCAACCATGGCCACCCCACTTGCACGGTCCCTCATCAACATGAACTTGTACTTGTGGTTCTGGAACTCGTACTCGAACACGTCACTTCCAACAACTTCCAGAAGTCCTGGCGTCTCATTGAGGGAGGCGACAGGCGCTGATGCAGGAAGCTTTGACTCTGCGCAGTCTGGGCACTTGAGCTTGCCCGCCAACTGCAGCCCAGTCTGGAGCGTGTCGTGCTCGAAGAAGTCGTTGAAGGTTGGCCATGGAAGTGTGGCCTCTGGCCTTGTGGACCCGAAGCATTTGAGCCTTGATCAACTCCAATCTCCGGCCTGTTGGTGCTTCGGAAGGAAAACGACGCTTTGAAATGGCCAAAATGGCCGGGTCCTCCTCCCGAGCCAACTGCTCATACCATCTCCATTCTCTTGATTCCTCCTCCATGAGGATGCCCTCGTGCTCTGCCGTGATGTTGTTGGCACCATTGGGAAGGTCTATGAAGTAGGTTTCAATGTCCTTTGTCAAGGACCATGAGCTTTGATTGTCTGCCCAGGTCCATGTCTGCTCGATTGCCTTGCAGACGGCCTGAACCATCTTCTCCGGGTA